AATGGCCCCATAATCTAAGCGGGTGCGAATGAGGCTTCTATAGAGGTTCATGAGGCATTGCCTATCACTGCCCCAAGTAGTACGTGACAACACTTTTAAAACATTCATGGCTTTTAAACATTTTGTTTTTAGATACTTGATGTATGGCACGAAGGACAACTTGTTGTCCAAAATTAGGCCTAAGAATTTATGCTCAGCTTTGACGGACAGACGTTGCCCGTTCAGTTGAATGTCAGGTTCCGAGTGCATGCCTCTCTTTCGAGAGAACAAAACACACGTGCTTTTTTGTGGGTTCAGTCGGAATCCGTTTTCCTCTGCCCATTTGGAGAGCTTATTTAAACATAACTGAACCTGCCGCTCACACAATGCCAGATTGCAAGACCTAAAGCCAAGCTGGACGTCATCGACATATGTGCAATAAAACATATTGCGAGGGATGGTCAAGCGCAAGGAATTCATTTTTATGAGAAAAAGTGTGCAGCTAAGTACACCACCTTGTGGCACGCCTGTTTCCTGAACAAATATTTGGGAAAGAACCGTGCCCACTCGGACACGGAATGTCCGATTTGACAGGTAACTTTTGATTATGTGAAACATTCTTCCGCGCATGCCAAGGTGGGAAAGGTCTCTTAGAATTCCGAAACGCCATGTTGTATCATAAGCCTTTTCGATATCGAGGAACACAGAGAGAAAATATTGTTTATGGACGAAGGCGTCTCTGATCTGTGCCTCGATACGAACAAGGTGGTCTGTGGTGGATCTACGTTCTCGAAACCCGCACTGAAATGGGTCGAGCAAATTGTTTGTTTCAAGGAAATGTACAAGTCTGCAGTTTATCATTTTTTCGAAGATTTTGCACAAGCAGCTTGTGAGTGCAATAGGCCTATAACTCGAAGGTAAAGAAGGGTCCTTGCCCTCTTTCAAAATGGGAATTATAATAGCCTCTTTCCAGGAGTTAGGGATAGTGCCAGAAAACCAGATAGCATTGTACAAACAAAGTAAGGTTTTTCGTGTTTCGATCGGTAGGTTTTTTAACATTTCATATACGACACGGTCAGAACCTGGGGCAGAAGTACTGCAGGAGTTTAGAGACATTCGCAGCTCAGCTAGACTGAACGCTTGATTATATGCCTCGTATCTAGTGCATTTGTGTTCGAGTTTCTGCTTTTCTATTCTTGTTCTGTATTTTTGGAAAGTGTCAGTATAGTGGGACGAGCTGGATACCCGTTCAAAATGTGCCCCGAGGAAGTTTGCCTGATCTTCCAAGGTATCACCTTGAGTGTTTACGAGTGGAAGTGTGTGTACTTGTTTCCCTGCTATCCTACCGACCATGTTCCAGACTTTGGCCTCTTGTGTGTAAGAATTGATCCCTGACAAAAACTTCTGCCAGCTTTCTCTTCTGGCCTGCCGACGCGTTCTCCTGCCTTGAGACTTTATTTTCTTGAAGGTTTCAAGATTTTCGGCTGTCGGTGAGTTCCGAAGCAGCCTCCAAGCTCTGTTTTGCTGTTTGCGCGCGTTTCGGCATTCAGAGTTCCACCATGGCACACGTCGTTTTCCAGGGTGTCCATTTGTTTGTGGGATGCATTTTGTTGCAGCATCAATCAAAAACGCTGTGAAGTAGTTCACAGCAACATCAATGTTCAAAGTACAGATGTCATTCCAACCTAGACAAGCGATAGTATGAAACTGTTCCCAGTCGGCTCTGTTTATGAGCCACTTGGGAACACGTGGTGGACACTCAGTTACTGTCGTTGTGCTCAAAACTACGGGGAAGTGGTCACTTCCGTACAGATTACTGACAACTTTCCACTGGAGTAGAGGCACAAGAGATGGAGATACTATGCTCAGGTCTATGGAGGAGTAGGTGTTATTAGCGAGGTTATAATAGGTTGGTTCTTTTCGATTCAGCAGACACGCGCTCGACGAGAGAAGGAACTGTTCGATCAGTCGACCTCGCGCGTCATACCGAGAATCACCCCATAGCCTGCTATGCGCATTGAAGTCTCCAAGGAGAACATAGGGCTCCGGAAGTTCATCAATTAAAGAGTATAAATCACGTTTTTGCAGCTGATAGCTAGGAGGAATGTAAATACTGCAGATTGTGATCAGTTTATTGAAAAGAACCGCTCGAACAGCCACTGCCTCAAGGGATGTTTGGAGTTGTAAGTGTGCGCATGCAATTCCTTGATTTACTATGATGGCAACACCTCCGGATGATGTCATGGCATCATCTCGGTCCTTTCGAAAAATAACGTATTTACGAAGAAAATTTGTGTGTTTTGAATTTAGGTGTGTTTCTTGTACACACAGCACTTTTGGTGAGTGTTCGTGTAGGAGTTCTTGGATGTCGTCAAGGTTTCTGAGGAGGCCCCTGACGTTCCATTGTATAATTTGAGTGTTCATGGTGAATGTAAAATAATGCTGTGTGTACGAAAAGCGAGTGGCTGTTTAGACGGGGAGTTTGAGTTCACTTAACAGGGCCGTCATCAGGCCCTGTTATTTGCTTTTTTGTTTTCTTGGCGCGCTCCAAGGAGCCACGCCGCTGTTTCGGCACCAAGGGTGTCGACGTATCCATTGCCTCCTCGGAGGCACTGGATGCCCGCACGTGCGGGCTATTAGTTTGGATTTTGGGCCTCGCCTGGTGAGGGGAGGCCTTGAGACCCGAAGACTCTGGAGTCTCCGGTCTCTGTTTGGGAGTAGGCGGTGTAGCCTGGGCTACAGCCGCCTTGGGGGCAGGTGCCACAGCCGACGGCTCGCTCTGCGCGGGCCGAAGGGGTGGCGAGGGCTGGTGCGGCGTTGCCCCCTGACGCGCCGCATCAGCATATGTTGCGCCGTAAAATGGCGACACTCTTCGTCTTGCTTCTTTGAATGTTATGTTTTCTTTGACTTTAAGAGTGATTATTTCTTTTTCTTTCTTCCAGTTAGGACACGAACGCGAATACGCGGCGTGTTCCCCGTCACAATTCACGCAGTGAGGCGTAGTAACACAGTTATCAGATGGGTGGCCGTGGCTACCACATCTTGCACAAGTTTCCTGACCCCGGCAGTTCTGCGAGCCATGACCAAATCGTTGACATTTATAACATCGTCTTGGATTTGGAATGTAGGGACGGACAGAGAGTTTGATGTAGCCTGTGTCTATAGATGAAGGCAGTGTGCTAGATGCAAAAGTGAGTATTATATGTTTGGTAGGTATTTCTTTGTTGTCGCGTCTGATGACGATTCGTTTCACATCCGTGACATTTTGCTCTTTCCACCCTTCAAGTAGTTCCTGTTCAGACATTTCAAGAAGGTCTGCTTCTGAAACAACTCCGCGTGAGGTGTTCATCGATCTATGAGGTGAAACAGATACTGGGATATTACCAAATGCTACGAGACTGCCAAGTTTTTCATAATGGTGTTTTTCAGGCAGCTCAAGGAGAAGGTCTCCGCTAGCCATCTTTGTAACCTTATATCCTGGGCCAAAGAGCTCGGTCAGAGATTTAGCAACAAGAAATGGTGATATGGCTCTGGCTTGTTTTGTTGGGTTTTTGCTGTGCACAACATGGAATTTGGGAAAGCATTGTCTGGGTTGGCTGAAAATTGAGATGTCATCGGTGCGTCCCCTCTTAGGCGGAGGACGATCTAGGAGACGGGGAAATGCAGGTGTTCCCATAGTAGTGTACTTTTTTTCGGCAGCAATGGCGACCACCCACCATGGAGTCCAACCAGGGGACGCTGAAGCACTTAATAGCATAAGGCTGCAGACGCCAGCCGTACATTGCCACTATAACCAAATATAACTACTCAAGGTTGAGTAATTACACAAGGTTAACCCTTGCCGCCAGGAAAAATCTGAAGTAAATGGAAGAGAGAAGAAGACAGGACAGATTTAAAGACGAGAAAAGACTAAGATGTAGGGAGAGAGAGATAGGAAAAGGCGACTGCCGATTTCCCCTGGGTGGGTCAGCCCAGGGGTGCCGTCTACGTGAAGCCGGGGCCAAAGGGGTGTGTTGCCTCTGCCGGGGGGCCTTAAAGGTCCAATCACCCAGCGTCGGCTCAACCCCCAGGATCCCCTTTTCCCCGGACACGGCAAAGCCACGCACGGCTAGGCGTGGGAAGGAGTCAAAACTCCCCCGTTAGCTCGGGTCCGTGGTGTCGCTACACACCAAACGCCTACTTGCGCAGGCGCCCCTGCGGGGCATCACAAATTGAATATGTATCCTTGTAATAACGGAGGAAAAGCGTACTGATACCGTTCTTGTTGTCCGCACTATTAGAATATGGAATGCCTGGCCCGGAAGTAATAAATTTTCAACATTGGGTGAATTCATTTTAACCATCAATAACCCCTAATCTTCATACTGTGTACGTTTTGAGTTGTATTGCAGTTTTTATGTTGTGCCTCCACTCCCGCGATAGCATGTGAAAGCTGCAGTAGTTATTTAAATAAAAACAAATACAAAAATAAACAACTAAATGAATATCAAATATATCTGAGTTCTTCTTCCCAACCGAGGCCCTTCTTTTAAATTTCGGGCAAGCGACTCTGCACAGTTCGCTTGCATATCACAGGGAGTATGTAAGTAATATAGCACTATGGGTGTTCGAAGTAAGCTTACGTAGTGCTAAAATATTTGCCAAGAGTTACGCTTCGAAAATCTGTGTGAAGTCTGATGGTCTTAGCGAAAACCACCAGCCAACTGAAGATGAGTAAGTACCTACTCCTGCCTTTCCGTGTACTATTGAAGCATCAGTGGCTACTTCATTATTTGTTTTCACATGTGCAAGATAGTATTGCAACCGGCGACTTAATACACTGTATTATTGAAAGGTATGCTTGTAGGAGAAAACGCTGTCATAATAAATGAAAAAATTTTGATTTGCTTCGGCTTAAATACTGTTTTCTCGCCCAATCATAGTTGGTCGGCAGACGCAATGAATTGCGATACATTATCGTGTGTCTGTGTCGATTGATATGCCAGAGTGTTGCTACCTAACATTGATTTCCACGTGTGCAGGTCAATCTACAGGCCTATTTTGTTGCTAACAAGACACGTTCGACAGCGATTCCATGCAGTGGTACACTGATAACTCGCCGATTCGTGTTAACGGCGGCGCGCTGTGTTCTCCGAAGGCGAGTATCCACGCATTTTCCTAGCACTGTGCTTCAATAACTATTCCGAGTATATGTTGTCGGGTGTTTTAATGACAGGCAAAAAAATTGAATTGTTGACCCGCCATGGTGGTCTTGTGGTTAGGGTGCTCGACCAACGGCCCGAAAGTCGCAGGTTCGATTCCGTCTGCGGCGGCGGCCTTCTCGTGGATGCGAAATGACAGATGATTGTGTACAGTACGGCCCACTCTTGGAGGGAACACGGCAACGCGTGGCTGGCGGCCCGCGTGGCGCAATCTGGTGGCGTGATTTGTAAACGCTGCGCATGCGCATAGACGCGAAAGGGTGGGCTCACCGCCATTCGTCTGCCACTGCCCGCTCCGACGCTTGGCGTGCGCTGGATACAGCGTTCGCATTTGCCCATTCTCCCTGCCCCTCACCGGGTAATAAGCGTGCAGAAAAAAAGTGGCTGTCGGTTGTTGTTGTGCTTTCCGGGCAGCTTTGTTTCAATTCCATTCATGGCCACAGCTGCCGACTTTAGATTACGGGCGAGACGCAAAGAAAAGCCATGTGCCTATAGTATTTAGAAGCATGCTAAGGAAACTCATGTTTGAAAATACTTCGATGTATACCACTACGACGCGACACTGAATTATATAATTGTTGTGGATTGAAATACGCAGCAAATTCTAGTTCTAACTCGCGTTACATTTTCTTTTTCTTCGTTGAAGCCAAAGCGCCAGAAGCTCCTTATTTCGATTATGCGATAGCATTCACTTTTTCGAAAATCACTACATTTCACCAATACGCGTGCTGAAAGTGGTGTACGTAGAACACTATGGACTAAATAAAGAAAAAAAATAAATTTTCAAATTTAAAAAGGTTGAGTGAGGTCAGATCTGTAGCCTCGAAACATATGAATAATGCAAAGGTAATGAAACACATTTGAGCCTTGTGAAACGAAGAATAAAATGCATATCTGTGTAAGCAAAATAGGACTATGCGTGACAGAACTTGGCAAAGAAAAAAATACATTCGTAATCCCGATGATTACGCTTGTAATGAGAAAGTGGCCGTTTCACGATGGCAGTGACATCACGCTGGCTGTATTCTTTGGTGTACAGCTCGACTATTCGAAGCCTTTCGTTCTCAGGTACTCTAGCCATGCCGCTTCTAAGAACTAGCTCCACCGAAATTGTGATCAGCGAATAAATATGCCCCCCAGCTGTTGAAGTCTGTGAAAGCGATAACGAAGCGCGTGACTCGCGTAGCCTAATGTTCGTGCTCACCAAAAATGTAATCGTAAGCTTTTCAAAAGCCGTTCGAACCAGCCAGCCAGCCGCTTTTGATAACAGACATGGAAATTGATGGCCGATGAAGCAATCACAGCAAGCTTGTCGCTAGCACGCGCCAAGAGTAGGGCAGTGTAGTAGCAGACGACGCGGGCAAGTACCGCCCTTGCGATTCTGCGCGCATGCTCCGCGTTTCCAAATCTCGCCAGCAGTTGGCGCTCCGCGGACCACCGGCTTAAGGTCCCTAGATGAAACAAGGTAGCGTCACTCATTGTTCTCGAGCCGTCCTCCTCACTCTCTCGATTACTCCTCTTTTTTCTCTGCCATCCGCGTCTGTAATTGGTGCATTACTTGCACGTGATCTTGCAAATGGCTGGTGGTGTTATTTATTATTATGCAAAAGGTTCAAAACGAGTACGCATGCGCATATGGCTCCAGCATGATTTTCGCCGTGACCAAAGACAAAATCGTAGCCAGAACATAAACTGAAGAGGACGAGCGTTTCGGTGTGCGCTAAGTCGACCAAGATTGTTTCGCCATGCTCGTTCAATGCAACCTCTGCGTTTTTCAGCAATGCTGCGTTGCCGTAAACAACAGAAAATGGTTTCGCTCTCTTCAACTTACCTCGTGCTTTCCGAGATGAAGCGCACCATGAAGTGCAACTATGAACCATTTCACGCGAATGCTTTCGTGCAACTCCGTCAACGTGTGTCGACGCGGATCTGCGAAGCGAGTTCACTTGTCAGTTTTTATTGAAACGCCAGGCGCGCGTCTAATGCGTGTCTAGTGCATGCCAGTTGGTACAAATACATGTGGGTATGCACGTATACAGAGCAGCTGTAGGTTCTAATCAACGCACCTTCAGAAACATTCCACTCTTGACCAGTTCCCGCTTGAGCCGAAACGCGCTGCTTCGAGACACCTCACCAGTAGAACTCTCACTTTTCAGGAAGTTCCCAGCACCGCATCAGAATCACTTGGCTTCACGATTGTCCAAATGGGCACATTTAAAAAAAAAACGTCATCTCAGTGCTGCTGGACGAGTGTTCGTACCAGTCTGGTCGTAGTTTTTTTTCTTGCGTGTGCACAAGCCGGTTGTAATCAATCGTCACAACGTCAAGCCCTGTGGCCACTTACAAGATCCAGCAAGAAGCACGTTCACTGTGTCACAGCATGAACAAAACACAATCGGAGAAGTGGACTAGTTAGAACTGGACGAAATACCGCGGCCGTGGAACTAAAATGTACTACGCGAGACGCCATGGCTAGTGGTGTAAAGTATAGAACTGCACAACGTTGCCGGTTGAGTAATGCACATCCCGCTTGCTCTTGTGTTGTGCCGTTTATGTTCATAAAGGCAACTTCTTATTCTACGTCTTATTTCATTCTATTTTGTTTCATTTACATCTATTCACCGTAGCAACAGAACCCAAACATTCGCTTTTGGATGAAAGTTTTAAACCTTCTAGGGGGCGCTTCAGGCAAATAAGCGAGGAGGAAAAAGGAGGGTGTCGCTACCTTGGAAACTTGTTTCATCTAGGGACCTCACAACGGCTACGTGCTCGCGTGTTCCCCTTAACAGTGGACCGTACTGTACTTAGATAGACACACACGCCGAGAAGAACTGTCTGCCACGGTGGAACGGTGACTAGGGCACTCGGTTGCTCAGTCGCAGGTCACGGGTTCGATCCCGCCTATGCAGCGCTGGAGAGGGAACCTAGCCTTTATTTCCAGCGTACTGCGCCACGTAATAAGGACTCTGTAAGGAGGAGGGGTGATTCTTAAATGAACGGAAGGTAAAAGTGAGCCCAGTAATGGTCTCTCCGGGGGAAGACGCCTCAACAGTAGCTCACGAGAGATGGGGGATTGATTGATTTGTGGGGTTTAACGTCCCGAAACCACCATATTGTCACGTGATCACAGAACGACCACAACGTCTGTGCACAGTAGCAGCACTGGACGTCGAGCCGAACCGAACGTTAGAGCACGAGCTCTCCAACCGTCCTCATCTTCTTTCACACCAAGGCACATACTCGCATTGGCATGGCTAAACCTCGTTCCATGCCTGTGGCATTACCCCCCCCCCCCCTTCGAAAAAAAAGTACCACCCCGATGACCAATGCCAATTAAAAGTGAAAGTAGTCGCGTACACGCACAAAGACACATGATGAAGCAGTGTCAGGTGGCTCGGGGGTAGTGTGGCTTCATCCGTGACACATGAACAATGTCGGCCTGCTGGGAACATCGAGATCGCCGAGCTGTGTCTTCAAGCAGTATTTCGTAGTTGACATCGGTGAGGCGCCGTAGTAATCTATAAGGAACGAAGTAGCGATGGAGTAACTTTTCCGAGCGGCCCCTTTGGCGAACGGGGATCCACAGCCTGACCAGATCACCGGGTTGGTAAATGACATGGCGATGACGGGAGTTGTACCTCTGCGAGTCAATCCGTTGTTGTTTTCGGATCCGCTCGAGTGCAAGCTGGCGGGCCGCGTCGGCGAGCCGGATAAAGTCGTGCGCATCAGTAGTAATATCGGTCGTGTCAGGCAACAGCATGGCATCAAGCATCGTAATTGCTTCTCGGCCGTGAAGCAACCGGAAGGGAGTGAAACCCGTAGTCTCTTGAACCGCAGTGTTGTAAGCGAACGTTACATATGGCAAAATTGCACCCCAGTTTTTGTGATCACGGTTGACGTACACAGATAGCATGTCAGCGAGCGTCTTGTTTAATTTCTCCGTCAGATCGTTGGTTTGTGGATGGTATGCGGTTGTTTTGCGATGAGCTGTTCCACTAAGCCTCGTGACGTCTTGCATCAATTGGGCTGTAAAGGCTGTCCCACGGTCAGTGATAAGAATTGTTGGCGCTCCATGGCGGAGGACGATGTTGTTGATGAAAAAATACGCAACCTCATTGGCGGTGCCTCGTTGTAGGGGTTTCGTTTCGCAGTACCTCGTTAAATAGTCAGTAGCGACTACGATCCAGCGGTTGCCATCATGTGACTTCGGGAAGGGTCCAAGCAAGTCCATGCCAATTCGTTCAAACGGTTGTGACGGGGGTGCAACAGGCTGCAATAAACCAGCAGGGCGCACAGGTGGGGCTTTACGGCGCTGGCAATGATTGCACGTTTTAACGTAATGCTTGACATCCTGGGTGAGCTTTGGCCAGTAGTACCGAGTCCGAATCCGGGCAAGGGTACGTGCGAATCCGAGGTGGCTGGAGGAAGGCTCGTCGTGGCAAGCAGATAGAATGTCAGCACGTAGCCCTTGGTGGAACGACGAGGAGGTACTCAGTCGCATAAGGTTCGAAGTTCTTTTTATAGACGATGTCGTTGCGGAGACAAAATGACCCTGAACGTGCGAATTCCGATGGTGGACTCGAGCTGCGACCTTGAAGGTATTTGATAAGTTGTTGGATTTCTGAATCATTCCACTGTTGTTGGGCCAAGTCAGATTCACTGACTGCACAAAGAAAATGGCCATCGGTATCATCGTCCCTCGATGTCGTCGCGAGGGGTGCGCGCGAAAGGCAATCAGCATCAGTGTGCCTGCGGCCCGACTTGTAGACGACTGTAACCTCAAATTCTTGAAGGTGTAAGCTCCACCTCGCGAGGCGCCCTGAAGGGTCCTTGAGATACCGAACGTGAGAGCACGAGCACCCCAACCGTCCTCATCTTTCACACCATGGCACATACTCGCATTAGCATGGCTAAACCTCGTTCCATGCCTGTGGCAATATTATTATGAGAGACGCCATAGTGGAGGGCTCCGGAAATTTAGACCACCTGGGGTTCTTTAACGTGCACCCGAGTCTGAGTACACGGGCCTACAACATTTCCGCCTCCACCGGAAATGCAGCCGCCACAGCCGGGATTTGATCCCGCGACCTGCGGGTCAGCAGTCGAGTACCTTAACTACTAGACCACCGTGGCGGGGCCTCACGAGAGATGGGGGATAGGAGGGATTGAAAAGGGTAGGAATCAAAGATATTGTGGGCATTTGTTACTTACATCGTCCTCATCCCTGCATGATCACAATCACCATTATCCGCTTGTCGCTTTGTCCTCATTGCCACTGTGGGTCTCATCATCATCGCCATCGTCTGTGTACTGGCTCTGCCTGTTCGTTTTGCGAGGTCTTTCCTCAATTAAACGCTTTCGCAACCAAGACTACCAAGACTTCATACGTGGTGGAGGTGCGGGGTAGACGAATTGACGCCGACCTTGATAAGACGCCCCAACAATATGCCCACAATATAGTAATAGAGAGGGAGCAGGAGGAGAAAAAGGTGAAGGGACAGCCACATACGGAAGTAAGTAGAAGATGGGAGAGATGGACATAGTCGCAGGAAGTCCGAGGACGGAGTCAACACTCAGCGAGAGCTCTTGTTGGCTGTAGGATGAGCCAGTTCGGTCTGCGCTGTGCACGATTAAGACGACTCTGTAAGCCGGCCTATCAAGTAATATTGGGTGCGTGTTCTCTTGAAATGTTTTGAAGGAACAGTTCCCTTCAAATTAATTTATTAGTATTAGTGTTGCGCCCCGCCGCGGTGTTCTAGAGGCTAAGGTACTCAGCTGCTGACCCGCATGTCACGGGATTGAATCCCCGCTGGGCTGCAGCGGCTGCATTTCCAATAGAGGCGAAATGTAGGCCCGTGTGCTCAGATTTGGGTGCACGTTAAAAGCCGCAGGTGGTCGAAATTTCCAGAGCCCTCCACTACGGCATCTCTTATAGTCATATGGTGGTTTTGGGACGTGAAATCCCACATATCAATCAATCGATCAATCAATCAATGATCAGTATTAGTGTTCGTTTCTGTAGAACACGTGTTCGACATGGACATAGGATTGCTCGGAGACTGAAATGCTTACATCATATGACAATAAAGATCTTAATGCCTTAGTATTGTAGACTTTTTTCAATGTTTGGTGTCAGTATCTATTTTACACTTCAGCCTGGATCAAGGAAAAGGAGTATTGGCTAGCATCGTGGAAGTGTACTACAGCGATGCAGAGAGAAGAAAAGGTAATTTCCGCCGGGCACGTGATATAATCATACATCCGGGCTTCAATCCACTCACGAGACTGCACAACGTTGCTCTCCTCCGGGTGAGTGTTCCACGACGGAAGAGGTGAACCTATTGATTTTGGCTTCCGTGCCACTAAATTTTTAGTGAGACAGGTGACGCTAGTAAGAAATTAACGTTTCATAATATCACCTATGTGAAGCTCACTGCAAATTAAGGCCAAAAGAAAATCAACCTGAAAAACATTGAGCACGTGCTGATGAATGGCACAAAAACAACATTTTGTAAACAAGATTACATACTGTGCTATATGTTGAATAGAGATAGTTTCTTTCCAAGTTTCGGGAACAAAATATTTAGGAACCTGCAGGTTATTGATTTATACATAAATTTTAATAGTTTGTGAAACTACCGAAAAGTTTCCACGTGATTTGCGCACGAATTTATTCTCACCGCGTGTAGGTGTTGTGTTACTGTTGATGTGTTATTGTTGAGGCATATTGCACTAATATCTCTTAATGGTAGCGTTTCAGCCCTATTTTTTTAATAGGGCAAGCGTAACGAAGCCTCCCCCCCCCCCCCCCCAAAAAAAACATATTTGAAGTTGATGTCGCAAAACATTCTCGTTAGTTTAGGTTTACATGCGACCAACCTGATTGCGGTATGTGTGCTAACCTTTAAGCTAGACTGAACAAACCATTTTGGCTATGTCACGTATAGTGCTCAAGTAGGCACTCTATAACGACTGAGCGTCGCGCGCGGAACTGCACGAGTGACATCTGCAGTCGCAAATACGCCCCATCTTAGCATGCGCGGCGCCAATGATGTGCCTGCCCTGCAGTTTCCACCCTTCTGTATCTCCGCGGCCGCGATGGCTGCTTTGGCTGTCGAAGCGCTGTCAACATTACAAAATTGAAATAAAACAACAATAAAAAAGAAATATTATCGCTTCGTGATATCATATCACAGCGACAACAGTTTTACTTCGTCTTTCTTTCTTGTTTTTACGCTGAAATCGCTCAGAGCGCTTTCGACGGCCAAAGCAGTTGTTGCATCCGCGACAATAAACAGGGATCAGTATTGCGAGGCAGGCACATCACTGGCACCGCGCATGCTCAGATGTGGCGTATTTACGACAGCAGATGTCGCCCGCTCTGTTTCGTGCACGACGCTCTGTTGTTAGAGACAGCCGAGTTGAGCACTGTCCATTTCACTGGCAAGTCGAAGAGTGCATGCACCGACCAGTTTAGAATTCAATGACAAGTTTTAGTGATTCATTACATTTTTTTCAGCTCTTTAAGACTATTAACAGGACCAAGCTTGCCCGCCCTAATATGCCTCATGGAAAAACGAGAGAATCTTGTGTACAAAAACGCAAGTGTGCTGGGATGGGGATGTGAGTACGCATTTTGCTTTTAAATACTCGCGAGATATTATGGTTAGAAATTCATCGATCTCAGGTGGTGAGGAGAAAACGTCTCCAAGAGAAAGAGAGAGAGAGAAATAGACAGCAAATGCAGAGAGGTTAAGCTTTGGCTTGCTTGGGTATACTCTACACTTCAGGTGAGGGAAAGAGAAAAATAGAGAAGAAAGGAATAGAGAAAAAGAAATAAGAGTAAGAAAGAGCTTGAAACTACAAACAGGGTCTTGCGTTGTTCATTCACAAGCGCTCGTCATGTCCGGAAGTCCTCAAGATGCACAAGAGAGCCTTGGTGGCCTAGCGCTTTGCGAAAACAGAGGCCGAGGTCCCAGGATTTTTTTTTTTCATCTTGGTTGAAAAGCGCACTCGAGACGACGACGAAGCAAAAAAAAAAAACATAGACAGCGCCTGTATTTGTTCTTTTACTTCATCATCGTCTCCTGTGCGCTGTTAAACCAAGACGAACGCATAACAACTCGCTCAAGCTTTCATTCTGTTTTTTACTGTTAGTGATCTTCAATTCAAGTGAAGGAGCTCAACTTCCAACCAGGTCGTTGAGTCTGCTATGATGACGCCTGTGAGGAGAGGCTTCAGCACATTGTAAAATCTTTGAAGTAATACCTTAGAAAACGGTAGCTAAGCTCAACAGGTGTGATTAATAACATACTGTTGGAATGATGTAAATGGGAAAATTCGCAATCTTTTTGTTCTTTTTGTAAACTGGTTATTTTACCCGTAAGAAGTGACAGGCACAATAGGTTATTTCATTTGCCAAATATCTGCAGCATTTTTTGGTTTTTAGCGAATATAAAAATGTATACTTACAGTGACACCCAAGTGAAAAATTTATTCAATATTCAAGAGAAATTTTATATTGCAAGCTTTAAGGTGTTAAAATTTCACGTTCGTAAAAAATAAAAAAAGGTAATTTACCTAGTGTGACTTGATACTGAAACTTTTTAAATAAAATGGCAGTGCGCTATTGCTGATTTCTGTCTTTGTTCGCTTTCGGGACACGCTTGATTATTGAAATACCCTGTATGCTGCAGTGTTGAGCATAGAGTCCCCTAATATACACTAGAGGGAACTCAGGCGCTAGTGTCTGAGGGAGCTGCAACACACGGCACTTCAGCGAGCATGAGAATGATAAGTAGTACACACATGTGTCTAACTTTCGTACTCCTGGCCTGCTTCTGGCTCCGTGTGTGTTTGTGTGGCTTGGAGCTGTTTTCTCATGAAAAGAAAAAAAGGTAGCGACGGTTCAGCGTTCGCACTTCACAACCTTATTCTTTTATGCTTACCATTTCGAATCAGGTCACAAAGTTCAAAAGGGTTGAATTTCCCTTTCAAAGCAAAACCAAAACACAGCAATAAACGAAGTCGCAAGTACGATTCGCCGCCCGCAAGTACGAAGACTAGGCAAATGTGTGTACTACCCATCATTCCCATGGTCGCTGAACGGTCGCAGCGCCAGAGTTCCCTCTAGTTAATTTTAGGAAACTATGTGGTGTTCAGTACCTATAGCTATCAGATGTAAAAGGTGCAATGACGACAACGCACAAGGAGAGACACACGTACTAACACACAATAAGTCTCTCTCTCAATGTCCATTTTCTTCGCGCCTTTCACGTGCAAACACGCCAAACCAACAGGCGGAGTTGTTTACCTATGGCGTCGTTCGTTGGCGAATTCCAAGTGACCCATGAACTCTCCGCTGAAGCACTCCACTCTGGCGAAGGGCAACAGAAGGGAATCTACCAATAGAACACACGCGCCCGCTGTGGAGCAAATGGCAGGGTCAGATTGCAACGCGATGCGCGCGTCTCTCTCCTTGCTTGAGTGGGCATAATGGGCAGAGCGACGCTACAGTTATACGCTAGCAAAACCTGAGCTCTGACGCGAACAGCGTTCGTTGGTGCGACCATAGTTGGCACTGTTTCAAGGCACGGGGTGTTTGCGACATCTGGTCGAATCCGTCAATTTTCGCGGAACAGGAAAAGTTGCTTTGTGGAGTGATATCGCGAAGTAGCTGCTCCAGATAGGCCAATGGAACATTAAGGGAGCACTCTCAATCTGCCAGTGGAATAGACTTAGCCCTCATAGAGCAGAATGAAGTATTAGTGGAAGTGCTCCGAATCTGCCAATGGATTACACCATTAGACTTTCGCCCTAATATGTGATGTACTCGAAACAGTTCTCATGAAGTCTTGTCACGCCCTTCACGTTTAAAAAAAAATTGCCCGCAGCTTCCCTCGGGGGAACACTGAGGAGGATGCGGAGCATATAATTGGTTAACGGGGTGTTAAAGTCCGGGTCCTCTTGTCGACGCTTACGTTTCAAAGCGGCCGAATCCGGTGCTGCTGCTCGACGCTGACGTCTCTCAGCGGCTTCACGTTCTCTAAGTTGAGCATCTTCCGCTCAACGCCGACGTTTACGTTCGGCGTCGCGAGCTCTTCTCCGCGCTGCCTTGTCTTCGGACGACGACTTGGTTGCGGTTACGCCAACACTTTGGCCGGCGCTGGTCGAAGGGACGTCGATCATTGCGACCTCGGACGTCGACGCGCCGTACAAACCAACCGACGAGTGGCAACTGAGCGAGCGAGCACCGACCTTGAGTATATATACAGCGCGACGGCGCATGCACTGTCAGCTTTCGAATGTTCGAGAAGGGGGAGAAGCGCAACGGCGCATGCGCGCGCGTCAGCTGCCGATGTGCGTCAGCTGCCGATGTTCTCGAAGCGTGACGGCGCATGCACGCGCGTCAGCTGCCGATGTTCTCGAAGCGTGACGGCGCATGCGCGCTACATTATACAGCTAGCGAATGTTCGTGAAGAGGAGAAGCGCACGCGGTGTGTAGAGGAGGAAGGGTGCACAGATGGTGGAGGAGTGAAGTGCGCGCGGTGTGTAGAGGAGGAAGGGATGCACAGATGGTGGAAGAAGGAGGAGGAAGCTTGCGGACGGCGCCGCACTACAAGCCTCGACTATTAGATGAGGCACTGCGCCGTGCTCCCGACCGGGTTGCAGAAATTAGGTGCCTTTTCTCATCTTCTAACCACTACCACCACTATTAGATGCTCCGCATCTAAAAAAAATGGCAACATATCCACGGGGTGAATGATGGAGAGTGGGGCGAAGCATCCGACCGTCCATTCGTTTTTGCTTCCGTCCGTCCAGGCGTCTGTCTGTGTGACCATCCGTGCATCCGTCCGCCCGTCCTTGCGTGCGTCTGTTCGTGCGTCTGCATGCCCATCCGTGCGTCCGCCCCTGCGTCCGTCCATGCGTCCATCCGGCCGTGCAGCCATCCGTGCGTCCGTCCATGCATCTGTCTGTGTGCCCGTTCGTCCTTCTAGTCAACACTCCAAGTACCACCATCTCGCATCTTTTCATCATATATTCCGCATATAGAAGCACCGCCATCCAGTGGACATTCCAAGTACTAAATGAGAGGCGGCACACGCACACTTTCTTACGGCTTACGCTTCGTGTCTACTTCCCACCTTTAACCACCACAAGTTCATGGTATATATTAGTTCACTGTATTCATGGCACTGTGGCCCAACGATCACTAATTATAAACCCAAAAGGGTCACACCCAGCGACTATAACGTAGCAACCCTTTCTTGTCAGATAGCGCTCAATGTGCATGCCGATTGAGGCTAATGGGGAATGAGAGACAGGAGAATTCGGCTTTAAGTTTACGCGCACGCTGCGAATTTTGCATTGTTCAACAACGCACAGGAGAAATATTTCCCCGGCACCACCTTGCAGGTCAAAGCCTAAGACAAGTTACGCTACTACTGAAGAGGGACGAACGGGTGCCGCTTTTAAGAGCTTCGCCTCTAAAAAAAATTCAAGGGTGGCTCACCAGTGCTTTTACAATTGGCGCGCCGCTCAATCGCTACTCATGGTTATGCATGATAAACGCGAGTTCCATGTATATTATCTGAAAATGAGGCTGTGAATTCAGTTTCTTTAATTATGTCAGCATAGCAAAGGTGATATGTTATTTCATATCAGGTTCGCAGATTTTCCAACACTCAACAACACAAATCACGTAGTGAAATCATGCTATCCGTACATATCCCCACTCCACACACACACACACACACACACACACACACACACACACACACACACACACACACACACACACACACACACACACACACACACACACACACATATATATATATATATATATATATATAGAGAGAGAGAGAGAGAGGAAAAGACAACTTAGTGGTTGTCTTAAGTGTATTTGGTTGTGACCGGTGGAGCGGCGCTCTTCGTCAGGGTTTGCGAACAAATGCGATGCTAGGCGCGCACTTGTTCCCAAACACTGACGAAGACTGGTCCATTGTACAAAACCATTACAGATGAAATTAACACACCCCCTAAGTTGTGCGTCTTCTCTTCCCAAGTACGTTTAGCCTATAGGAAACCTATTATATATATATATATATATAGAACTTGAAGGGAAGGCACGACAGGTCCGGGTATTTTTTATATTGAATTATATATATATATAATATATATATAAAATTATTGATATATATAAATCACTATATATATATATATATATATATATATATATATATATATTATTTAACGGACAATAATACTAAGGAACGTATAGCGGAAGTTATTAGACCGAATGGTAATGTAAATGTCAAAAAACGTGGGTGAAAAGATATCTTGCCGTGGGCAGGAATCGAACCTGCGACCTTAGAATAACGCGTTCGATGTTCTACCACTAAGTTACCACGGCGGCTATCTCCCTACCAACATTGCGTATGTGTTTAGAAAAAGTTGTTAACAATCCGTAGTACGAAATACTCTACTACGGGAGAGCATAAAGCCATGTGTATAGAGAAAGTGGCTAACGATTTCGAGTACATCATACTCAACCTTCCCAATATATGTGAATTTAAACGTGGGAGTGTCAGTCAGCGCCGACTGACGACCGTCGCCGTCTTTACGACAGTGAGAGCCGTCTTTTTTCATGCAGGGATAATGCAGAATATTGTACTACGCTACGCCACTGTGAAGATCGTGCCATTTTGGAGGTGCAAACAAAAACTGAATGTTATCAAAAAACGCAAGGCTCTTACCAAAAAGACATTGATGTGCACTGCGGGTGTCAAGAGAGGACCATGCAAGGTAAGAGGATCACTCAAAAAACTGGTCTATATAATGGAGTAGAGCATTGCAAACTGATAATTTCAACGATATATCCTCATGACGCGAATCATCACACACTGTATACGTGTTAGTCACACAATAAAATTTTCAGGCTCCAAATAGTACAAACATAGGGGACAAATGAACTAATATGTTGTCTTGTACTAACCTTTAACATTGATTCATAATTAGCGCCTAATTAAATACCCAACGTTTTACAGTCAGTCATGTTCAATGGTTACAGTGTAAAAATAAATGATATCCATTATGCATCCACAGTTTTTTTAATTTTATTGTTGTAGAGGAACAGAAATAGTTTTTCTCACGTTGACCTTGCGACGGGGCATCTTGATCGCGCCGTTGAACTCAGTAATGCAATCACCAGAGTTTATATTAGGAACACCACTGAGGATGGTCAAGACACATTGACTATGGAGAAGGTGTAATTCATCCTGTCCGCATTATATGCCACTCATTCGTGTCTACTAGTCGAAGGAACGTGAGAATTCGAAGTGTGCACGTTCGGTTCCTGCCGGCGGCGAGGTATTTCGTTGCAACCGTTAACTCCAGTCGGACTACATTCTTTTTCTGAGCGAATACACAAAAGAATAAAACTTTAATGTGATGTCGTTCTGTGTTCCATACGAAGCTGAAATTAGGGCTAGTTGTTTCGACTTGAATACAAGTGTAGCGGCGCAAACCAACAGAGCAAGATAGACACAGAACGACTACTAAGACGTTGTGTGTTCCTTCCTGTCGTGCGTTTCTGTACACTCCCATCACTTTCGAACAAACATACAGGGTAAGCGAATGCTGAATGCTTTTTTTTTGAGCTTCCTCACTGTTCTCAGTCTTAATAGGAAGTTGTAGAAAAACCTTTGCAGGCGCTGCAGGCGTTGCGGGCGTTGCGGGCACCATGTGAGTAACGTTCCTAGGGACTTAGCTGCCGCGCAAACTCATATAACGATCTAGGGACTTTAGCTGCCCCGCAAACTCAAATGCACGGAAACTACACATAGCCTCGAGACCAAGACTTTACGGTCCTTGCGGGCTGCAATCACCGCACGCTATTTCGCATTTTCTTTGGGCGGGCCGCGAACGCGAAAGGCGGCTCACGTACGACGCTTCCGCAGTGGCGGCGACCGCACCGCAAGGACTCGCGGTTTGCTATTCTAAAACTACCTAATATTAGTCTGGCGTTTTCGAATAGCGTACGCAAGGCTTTGCGTGCGCTATTCATTTAGGTCACTGCCAGTGCGCATGAGTCATAACGCTGACTGCCATCAGCGCTTTTGGTCTACGCGCAAGAAATGTCAAATGGCGTGCGGCCCCCAAGGCCCGCAAAGACCCTTGGCGGTGAGCGAACGTACTGTGAGCGGGCGTCAGCGTTTGCGGGGGCAAACGCTATTCGAAAACTCATATGACGCCCATACGCCACCGCTAAGACCGCAACGCTCGCTTACTTAGCGAAGAATATTCGAAAACATCCTAACAATAACAGCGTGTCGTAGGCGTCAAAACCATTATGACATTAACAGCGCATGCAATAGTGATGGCTTCTAGATATTCAACTACCTGGTATTGTTCAACGTTACACTGACATGTCACAGTACACGGGCTTTTTGCACTCAGCCTCCAGAGAAATGGGTCCGCCACAGGCATTATCGAAACCGTGACCAATGAGTAAACAACTGGAGCACCGTAACAACCTGACCACCACTGTGGTCCTGAAAATCCTTCACGTGCGCCGTTTCTATAAGCGTCTTCCAAACCATATAGTTTCCTGAAAAAGCTTTAGGAAAAAGCTTCGATTGTACAGCTAACATGGGAACGATGAGTACTATACAGATTTGCCCAGTGTTAGCACTTGCGGGCTTCTAGCGCACTTGAAGCAGTGTAGATTGCCTGCCTTTCAGATTCGTTTTCAATAAATGAACAAACCATTTGAAACTTCGTGACACGATTTGATATGAGTGATCCGAAAAGCTTAAGGCGATGAAGCGTAACTGCCAAACACTTGCTGATGTAACGTCTCGCAACACAGCATCTGCAAGCCACGCGAAGCCAAAGAGAGTCGAAAGTACGAAGACAAGACAAATAGAGAAGTACATGTGCTACCCATCACTCCCATGCTCAGCTGAAGCACCTTGAGTTGAAGCTCCCATAGGCACTAGCGCCAGAGTTCTCTTCAGGTGGAGGAGAAAAGAAATAAGCTGAAGCGCAGGGAGGTTAGCCTGTTGTTAGACCAGCTGGCAACCCTGTGATGGGAAAAGGGGGAAGAGGGATAGTGTGTATTTGTAGAAAAGAATGCATGAAACCAAGCAGTACAAATTATTTCCTTACGTTTGCAGGGTGACGGCGGGGGACCGGTTGAAATATTGAAGGGCAACAAGGCGTATCAAGTGGGCATCATATCCTTCCCGAAAAGCTGTGACGCCAGCAGGGATATACCGAGTGCGCACGAACGAGTAGACTACTACTTCGAGTGGATAAAAACCGTGATAGCGTACTACCACAAATGGACCTGGCACCCGCCTGATCCCGCCCCTGCTGAAGCCGCATGATCATTAGCGCCCCGGTGCGGTAATGCGACGAAGTGTAATCGAAAAAAAAAAATGTGGTGCCTAAAGACATCAGTAAAATAAAACGTCCAACCGCGAGTAACAATAAAGTATCTATTCGAACTTGCCTTGGTTATGCGCTCTCTTAAGCACTTGCGACGCTACTAATCTTCCTGTTTTATACTCTGCGCGCCACGCGCAAAGGCCTAACCCCTACAATACTGATTCGAAGTGGCTCACTTCATTTTTTGTTCTATTTCGTGTCTTACTGCGTAGTCTGAAATAGGTGAAATTCTGCAGTAGGATAACTGAACCATGATAAGCTGCAACTCAACATAGTGACGTAATAATAATAATAATAATAATAATACTATATTCTGGCATGTGTACACAACAGTTACATGCCACCGAGATGAGGCAAAAGGGAACAGACGAAACTGTTTCCTGACTAGGCCTACATCCCGGCTCGTAAACAAAAAAAAAAAAGGAGTGAGACATATACTCGTGTAAACAGTTTCGTGAACAAAAGAACCAAAAAACACACAAAAAAAGGACAGTGGTGAGGAAAGCGAAAAACATCCAGTACAGCACAATTCATCAGCATCACTGTAGAGAAGTCAAGGAATTTCAAGCAATATCGCTATAGAAGTACAAAAAGCATAAAACACCATTTCATGTTGATATGTCCATCAGAATAAAGTTGTGAATAGATTTACATAATGAAGAGGTGCAATAGTAGCCATCATAATTCAGAATTCAAGTGGAGCTAACATAGTACGTAGCTTAACAATTGAAATGCAGTGAAGTACAACCTGGTGAACAAAAGTTTGCATCGCAAGTGGCAAAACATATTGCATCAAGCATTTCATCCTGGATCGAAGAGTAATCTTACTTTCTTTTTAAAATCATGTACAGATCTGCTTATCTGTGATAATTCTACTACAGAAGGAAAACTGTTACATATATCTAGTATTTGATGGTCAAGTGTTTGGGTACCATAAATTGTTCTAGATCGTGCTGAAACAAGTGACGTCCTTCGTAACTTATATTCAATGTGACGAGTGAGATACATATTGCTGAATGAAGCAAAATCTTGTTTTATACGATTATAAATAAGAACGATCACTTTAAGTTTGTAGCATTCAGTGAAACACAATACACGAAAAACAGAAAATAAATTGCTATGTCTATGTCTATCTGGCCTTTTAGTTATTAGCTACAATGCTTTTTGTTGCATGGTAATTATTTTTGTGCATTGGTCCTATTACATGTGCCCCAAACTGAGTTGCAGTATGTGAGATGCGAATGAACGAGAGAAAAGTATAGCTGCTTTGCCACGGAATGTGGAAGAAGATTGTTAATACGGCTTATAACACCAATGGATCGAGCCATTATCAGTTTTACATGACTCACGTGATCAGACCAGCTCAAGTCATTGCGGAAGTGTACGCCCAGAAACTTGCAGCTACTGGTACATGTTATTTCTGAATTACCAAAATATAGTTTTGGGTTGTGGTGTATTGGTTTGTTTTTAGCACGGAATAAAATGAAATTAGTTTTTTTTTCACGTTTAACCTCAGCTGATTTACCCTCAGCCATCCCTCTAATTCTTCTAGCCAACTATTCGCTCTCTGCTCAAGTTCTTTTAGGTTGGGACCAGAAAAGAAGATGTTAGTGTCATCGGCATATAGGATAATGTTCGAAGATGAAGGAATGTTTACAATATCATTTGTGTACAAAGCAAATAGAAGGGGTCCTATAGTAACTATCCTTCGCTTCTAAATAGATGACGTAATAAAGTTTGTTTGTATCAAGGTCTCATTGGTAAGTTTTTATGGTTCTAAGGGTCAATAATTACTCAGGTAAAAATTAACAAATTACAAGTAAAGATAGAATGACTAGTGCTCTTCGTCTTCCCTTCTGTCGTCATGTACGGACTTTTCGCGCTGTAGGTGAATAGTTATGCGTCAGAAACAACGCCAACTCCAACCTCTCGTTTTAGGTGCGAAGTCCGTCAAGGCCTCAGCTTGTCTCCGCCTAATGTCGTCACGATGTGTCATATAGCCACGGTTCATTATGTACAGATGTAGGCAAGAAAATTAGGTAAATTGCTGTACTCCCTCCCCCCCCCCCCCTCGGCTCAATGAAATTGAAGAAGGCGACAGTCCAACAAACAGCCCGACATCATTAGTGGAGTTGAGATACCCTTCTGTAGATTACGCGTGGAACTGATACCAGTCATTTATGAAAGGAGAGGAAGATTGAGAAAGGGGAGGAGGTAAAAAGGAGCATTTTAGGCTAAGCTGAGATGTGTGTGAACAGCGTTGTGAATGGGTACAATGTAACCACATGCTAGGTGTCTGTGCATCGAGCGACAATTACGCCAACAACCAGGAACATTGGGCGAGAGTGCCAATAAGTGCTTCCCTGGCAGAACAGCTTCGAGCTGTCCAGGAGGCCCGCGAGCAACCGAGAGGTTCGGGCTCTGTCCCGACGTGGGACGATGTCCTCTGCACCTGGCACCTGACGATTGCCCTTAAAGGCCTTTTTTCGGGGAATAAAGTTTCACCACAACCACCATTCCAATGCAGTTCTTGGACAAATGTAGCGGAGCTCGAAGCACCCCTCTGTACATGGCAATTTTCAGGCTTAAAAAAAAGTACTGACTCACCAAAGAAAACACTGCATGTTTCGCCACTCCCTAAGTTTCAAGCTAGTGGAGCTGAAATCCTCTTCCTTAGATTCCTCAGTACTCCCCAGTTTTTCCAATTGGTACACTACGTTCTTCTGATCCAACTATTGAACGTAAGCCGCAAAGACACCCTGCGTTCAAGTATTTTTCATGTCTCCAAGGTTTCAGGTCCCCCTGAATGTCTGTCCAGCTGAAATGACGTGTACTGTGTTTTAGGAGCATATTTGCACAACTTTGGTTTGTGATCTACTGGAGTACCTTTGAAATGCTTGCTGCGTCGATAACATTTGAATATTAGTGAACGTAGGAACCACCTGTCCAGATACCATTTTCTTCGAGATCATTTTTCTTGATTCTAATAGATAGACGTATTGAAATATTATAGCGAGGCACTTGTTTTGATGCATGTACACTGTTTATTGACTGGCGCTAACGGCCAGCGCTGTGGCTTCTGAATTTTAAAATATTTCCAATCTGAAACGCCTGCAGCTGTATTCACAGAGTTAGCTGAGGCGGCCTTCAAGCATGTATTGAGTGTGCAAACTACACATTCGTTCAATTATCTCTTTCTGTTCTACTGCAGTGTTTTAATTATATCGGCTTACTCTAGCGTATCTACCTAACGAACCACTCATACCAATTACGAGGATATACAGATACAATCACAGTCTAGGGTGTTCTCAAAAATGAGAAATCCTTGCAGGCATGTGAGATACGTTGCGAATGAACACTGATGCAATCCGTGTTTCTATAAGCTATATAATATACAAGTTGGACGTCTTTCTTCAATTCCTCAACACGCAATGACTGAATGACAGCTTGCGCAAGGCACCGTTTATTTCTCTTTTCTCTGTTTACTGCTCATGTAACGCGTATTTTATGTTGATTTCTCGGTCGTCTTGTATGAAGGCGCGTTGCAAACGTTTGTGTGACGTCCACGTCTCAATGTTTACAAAGAATGGCCATAAATTCTTCTCTCTTTTTGTCCTGGAAGCCACACATGTCAAATCAGCAATTCATACGCTGCCATTATTTATGCCGACAGCTTCACTTACAAGGTGCTTTCGAATGCTCCAGCTGGGACGATACTTGTTTGCGACAGCCAGCCACACACTTCACCGATAAGTAGCCGAATCGTTGAGGAAGCCTTTGAGCGCAGAGGTCTCGAATGAATACCGGTCGCATTTATGACTCGTAACGGCGCAATCGACCCCACGGAACCAAACTTTAGAAAATATTATAAGTGAATTTCAATTAAAGAAGGCAATAGTATCGATTTCGAGTGTTTTTTGCGACGATAGAATGCTGTTTTGAGGCATCACCAACCGTGACAGAGTTAGTGCAAGAAAAAAAAAACATGTATACTGGAAACTCGTGCATCGCTTTCAAGTCAATAATAGCAGCTTAAAAAAAATGACACGTTGTTATGGCCGCCTTACAAACCCTTCCTCGGTCTCACTGCCATTCGCGGAACTACTGACGCTGCACGAAAGCTATGTTCCGAGTGGGTTACGCTGCGCTTTTCCTTCCACTGATTGTTCAGGTGAGTGAGACTGCATCTGAAAAATATAACGATGATCATACAATAGTGTTTGCTCACGTGGCGGAGCATGGCTCGGAGAGTGCTTCTGCGGTAATCAATCACCCTGCATCGAACGCGGAGACGCAAAGCTAGTTGGTAGGTATTCTTGTCAAGGAGACAGCCCGAGCTAATATGCACGCAATAGAGAATTCAAGCCACTACGAACGCCACGATTGCGGTGCCTTCACTTCCTTTTTTGTGCACGTATTTGCATGCCATGTCTCTTTAACGTGAGTGGGACGCGGACAAAGGCAGAATCAATTGATTAGTTTTGTAGTGGAAAATTGCCACCGTTGTGATCGTTGGGAAGAATTTGCTTGGTGGTTCATTTGTTTCCTAGCACCAGCGATGCAGTGTATACGTCCATGATACTTGAAAATTAAACCTTACCTCGACCTCTGAAGTTCGCTAGAAAGGTGCAGGAGCTTCTTCTGCATGCTATGCGGTTTCGAGCAGACATGTAGTGACATCTGTCTTTTACAAGCTATTACATGCCCATTCATTCACTGTGCACTGACGTGCCATAGACATGAATATATCTGAAGGAGCTTGTACGATGGTTGCACGAAACTGGATGTGTGATGTTGCCACTTCATGTATATTTCTTGTGACCGTTTTTGTGTGGTGTAGCGTATTTAAATTTGAGGGCATGGGCTCATTTTGTTACTTTAGCGGGTGAACTGCGACAGCGGCGAGAAAGCAACAGATAATCAAAGTTATTCTGGATTGTTTCTTCGAAAATACTCTTAAAAGAAGTCATATGCAAAATAAATGATGACTTCAAATGCCTTGTAGATCAAATTACTGAATTGGAACTAAGCTACTTAATCAGAAACTGGTGCATCCACAAAAGATAATGGTTATTTGGCGATGCTGAATAAGAGTCATTGCCAAACTTAATCATTTTGGTTTCGGAAGAATTGTATTCGATAAAGCATTAGCTTTCTCAGTTGAAGATGCTTCAGATATTGAACATCTGTTCATCTGTTCCGTTTTTTTTTCTTTTTAGACATACTCCGAGCACATCAACGGCCCAAGTGAGCCCACATCAATTTTCACGCAGGAAGAGCTTCCAGAAAATTTGAGATAGTGTTTAGCTTCAGAGTCTAGACTTAAAAAAACTATTATTTTAGTATATATATATATATATATATATATATATATATATATATATATATATATATATATATATATATATATATATATATATATATTTGTATCACAAAGAATGCGACTAAAGTTCATAAAATTAGCATATATGTAGTAAATTCAAGACGAATAGTGTTTATTATAGGTTATGTTACTACTCTGTGGGTAGAGCTTGCACCATCTAAATAATTATTCGACTGACGCTTTCAAACATATTTTTGAAAAAGAAGTGAAGTTTTTTTCAAGGTGTTTCCGAAACCTCACACAAAATTCAACAATTTTTTAAAAAAACGTCAGGTAGGCTAGTATGAATATAGAATGGTACTTGTCATAGTTTTCACATTTTCTGAGAAGCGGAAACCAAATAAGTACACAGAAATGGTTTCTTTTTTTTCTGTATTTCTATAAACATTCAGACTACAGTATAATGGTGGATCCTCACAACCATTCGCTTAATTAGGGTAACAATTTTATTGGAGATACCACCGAACTATAAGACAACACTTTTAATGTGTTGTGAAATTCGTTGTTTTTGAGAAGACAAAAAGAGAGTTTGCGTCAAGGTACCCGCACTGCATTCATTAGCAGCAAGCATACCAGTTTGAGCTCCTGGTTGAAGCAGTCAGCTGGGCAAAATTTAGGCAACAAATGAGTTATCTTGTACAAAATCAGCTCGCAGCCCAAAAATGACACACAACTACCATAGAAGGGCGTGGTACGAGCGCTGTCTAACAAGTAAAGTTTAATGATTTATCATCAACTTCGGTGTTCTTCATGTAGCCTAATTACCAATGATTTATTCGCTAAGTGTCGCTTTACACATAAACGCTAATATTTTTAAAAATAGATTACCTTCAATATGCTTGAAATAGCTTTGTTAGTTTTCAAATTATTTCTTTGAGACGAGTACAATAAAACGTCTATATTAATGGAATTTTCTGACCACACCACCACATTTTTTGTCTATCGTGACTCAATCCAAGTGACAAATTTAATTGATTATTTGAAAGCTGCAACAACTTACAGTATTTTCAATAACTTGTAGAAAGTAAGATAGAGATTGAATAGTCAACATAATCATTTGAATTTCATGAATGTTACAGATTGTGGCAAGGCGATGCCATTTTCAAGAATTGTCAATGGAAGAAAAGTATTAAGGGATAAGATGCCGTGGATCGTAAGGCTTTTGTGCTCTCACGCGTTATTGAGTAAAAAATTCACTTACCTGCCTGATTTTTACTAAGAAATTCGTTAACTGACAGGTAGCCGCCTTTGATAAACTCCATTGTGATTTTGTGCTTTTTCTTTTATTTACTGTAAAAAACAACTTGAAAACTTTAAGTCTCAACTAAATGGCAAGGTTTCATTGGTTTTCCGAGTTTTTAGCTGCAGAAACGATGTTGTTATGGGTCAATAATTCAGTAAAACGATGCAATAAATCTTTTCTCGTCAAAACTTTGTTTCTATTGCCTGTTGATATTGTAGTATAGTTTCTGTAAGACTGTCAGCGTGAGGATTTTCAAGTTGAAATGCGCGACGCATGTATGATTTACGTCGTCATTAAGGAAGCGTCTAAGAAACAGCAGTAAGCAATCAATTGACGCCGAGGTAGCCATTATCATGTTTATTTGTGCTCAAAAAGCTACAACATATTCCAATGGTATTTAGCACAATCATCAGTATTTTCTCTGCACTTTAATGAAAACACTGCATTTACATTGTTCAATTATAACAGATTTTTTTTAGTTGCAACTAAATTAAGGTGCCGCTATCCCTCATAGTCATTGGTCGGCCGAAAAAAAAAGATAGCTCGCTCAGACTCACTGAAGATTTTTCTAAATATTCGCTAGGACAAAGACTCACTTAATTTTCGCAGGACCCCAACTCACGCTATTCGAAACTCACTGAAAAAGATATTAGTCCTTCAAACTAAACCTCTCGGCCCATCTCATGCTTACAGAATGAGTTTGCGAACCGATGCCCATATAATAGTTTATCTGAAGGAATGCTAACATTTGGTATTCCCTAGTCGCATTGCACAGCGTATGGCTTGTGTTTCTTTTTTGCAGGTGTTTGTGCGCACGTTATTCAGGCTTGATGAAACTTCCACAACCATGTTCTGCAGCGGCAGTATTGTGTCCCACAGCTATATTGTGACAGCTTCCCATTGCCTTACTCTCCTGTTAGTATTATTTCGTTCATCTGTAATGTTTTGCCATTTATATGTGTATGCTGGGAGAAACGCGCTTGGTTGTATTAGGCTGTATACACCGTATAAAATTTGAAAAAAAAAAGTCAAGGTAACGCTCGGAGCCGTACGGTAAATATTAATTAGCGTGTTTGTATCGTTTCGTTGTCCTTGACATCCAGGATTTTTCTCACTTGTACGGTGCAATAACCTTTGGCCTGGGAATACAAATCGGGCGGTCAGATCAGCCACGATGGTTTTAGGCCTTTTCGAATGGTATGCTCACTCGTCATTAAATGACCTCTAATCGACTTCTAGTACAAATGATCGATATTGTTTTCTTCCTTATCTTTATTACCATTCCTACAGGCGCAACGTTCTCCTTGCCACCTATTTCTTAATAAAACGCGCGTACAATGTCAGAATCAAGGGTTAAGCTTATCAGGATTACGCACTTTGCGGCAACACGTTGTTATCTCCTCTTTAGCAGTACAGAACCCGAAATAAGTTCACCGTGAAACAATTGTCATACAGCAAAAAAAAAAAAAAGCATATCAGCCATGTGGCTGTACGGCAAGCAGCGCAGGATTAAGTTTTCAACTAAAAATTCTCGCACAGTTATCACCAGAGAGCTTAGAGTGTTATGACGTCACTTGAAGAAGCTTCTGACGTCACAAAATCTACCGAAAGAACGAGTGACGCCAGACGAGACTAGTGCATTCGTTTTTTGTACTTACAGATGCTGTTTAGAGGCCCTTTATATGTAGCCCAGCAAAGCACGCGGCCCATGAGCTGCTGATGCCGTCAGGTGGTAACTAGCGTCTAAAATTTCTGTGCTGCCTCTAATACTGTGTACGAAAATAATCAACATAATTAAATATGAGGAAAACTTGGAAGTTACGGCGATGTGTAAAATGAGCCAGAATCACTTGTCGATCAGCCCGTCGCCAATTTATGTGGCTGCCTTTTCACAGGCGTAGCCCGGGTTTTTTTTAGGGGAGTGGAAGTGGGGGGAGGGGGGGGGGCTTGAATTATATTTTATGCATGTGCATACTTGCGTTTGTACGCGGGTACTTTACCCAGCCTCTGGTTCAATTTTTTTTACCACTAATTTCCTGTGTAGCGTCTTCAAGCTTTATATTTAGAACAAAAAATGTTTTCTGATAATGTATGACATGATAACAGCAACGATTGGTGAAATGTAGAACTGCAGCAAAAAATGGCAGGTGTCTATTTTATTTTCGTTTCATCAAGGCATGGAGGGCTCCCTACAAGTGTAGTAGTATACTATAACAGCTCAAAAACGGGAGATGGACCTAAAGTAAATGTGATGCGGTATGCTCGCCATCCGGATTTCATACTGGCCGTCTACGCCAACGACATCGCAATTTTACAGGTATGTGGAACAAGAGAAAAAAAAAAACATGGATGATTCCTCTGCCTTAGTTATCTGTATAACACGAAAGTGAAACTTGCCTCCACAGAAAAAGCTGATCACCTCTTGTGTATTGTCTGAAAGCAAGAAAGAGGGAATAAATGCTATAGCAACTAATGGTTTTAGCCCGCGCAGAACAGCAAGCAGCTCCAAACATGCAACGCTCCGCACAATAAGACAGGAGGCACCGAAAAATCATACACAGAATGAGCTGTGAACTAACAACTGTCACAGCTTGGCAATTAAAGTACTCTGATGAGGTACTCGGAACGCACGAAACAAACGTACAAGGATGCACAGGATGGACGCGTATAATAACTGTTACAGCGGTAACTTCTTCGTGTGAGCGGAGCACTATTTCGAAAAGTGAACTCCACAGTTAGAGAAGCAACCTTCGTGCTCTCTGTCTCTTACGGTGAAGGCAGAAGACTTACCAACTGTTGCTATCGCGAAATCATACGCGCGCCTCGCATGGAGCGACGATCTGTAAAGCGCGCTTTTGAAGCCTTGCGTGCCATTTCGCTAATGATAACACAGGCTTAAGCCAGCCATCTCAGAGAACTGCCAACGCCGATTGGTGCATACAAAAGATCGATCACCCTAGTGTGCTGCAGAGCGTCTTTTTATTGCCGAGTTGTCTTGTGCTGTGCGTTCAGGAGCGAGAGGTCACAGTTTCGACTCCGAGCGCTGGAATTTTTCCTCTAACATTTCTTGGTAATATTTTAGTGTATATTTTAAAACGTCATATCATTGACAGAAATTCATCAGTGTAGCAGTGGTGGGCTCATGAATACTAGTTTTCATGTTAAAAATATAATAACCGCTTATTCTATGAAACGACAATGAGCAAAAAGAAGTCACGTGGTTCTTTATGCAGTCGCCTGAAACAACGCGAAGAAAGCCGTTTTGTTCGCTTTTTTGTCAACCGATCCTATTGACGCTCCCCCTTCAAGTGTTCTACTGGTCAGGTTGTCTGGCACTGCTTGCGAGAATGACACCTCTTCGGACAGATAGATGATGTCACATGTACACGTCATCATATGAGTTATATGTTTTGCAGTAACGTGACCATGTGACAGCGGACAATTGCTCAACGTGCTATGGCAGTGTTGGATACAAATCATCAGTTGTTAGCGTTTTGATTGGCGATGAGACACCTTCCATATTACAATTTTTTTTTGCTTTTACGATCCGACTTCTTACATTGTTACCATACAAGGGCTTTTAAGAGACATATGATGGTTCTTATTTCGGATATAAGCTGCAATCGACTTTGTTTGTGCGTTTAATTGGTGCACGTAGAATGAGTAATTAGAAACGATACCACTGCACACTTCATGACAACTTTCTTCCTTTGGCAGCTGGAGAAACCATTAAAGTTTGACAAGTTCGTCTCACCTGTTTGCCTTCCTAGAAAGCCACTGAATATCGCTCAAAAACGTCTACTTATTGCAGGCTGGGGACAAACTGAGGAAGGCAAGTATATCTCTTGGCATAGCCTTACGTGGCATCACTATTTATTGATAAATGTATCACGTGATTGTTATTCATGCTTAACCAGCGAGTCTTCTGTGACCCGTGACGCGAATTGTCCGTGTGGCTTGCGCATACCAAAGTAAGCAAATTAAACAGTTCCATATGCCACCATTTATGACAACTGAAGTGGAGAGTGTTATTCTTCTTCTTCTGAGTAGATTGCATTGGTCACACCCGCTCCTTTACTATGAAGCTCACTACAGCTCACATGCGATGGTTCCGCTATAGATCTACACGTATGACGAAGTGACACTGTCATGCGATTGTTTCAGCATGTGATTCGAGAGATTCTGTGTGAAATGTTTCTGTCTAGAGAATGATAATTTCTCAAACACATTGTAAAACTCCAAAAACTAATGCAGATTTATCAAAGGCGCAACTCACTTTTGCTGCAGTGATTCACAACACTGTTCGCACGAAGACTTCCCCGCGTATTACTATCGTTCATTATCTTACTCCTATGGTGCGCGAAATAAATCTGAATAAGAATCTGTTGTAGCTTGCTGGAGTCACCCAATGTGGACGGGTCATAGTTACTACTTCATTGTGAGACGTAGGTGGATATTCGAGGGAGTTGGTGAGAGGCCGAGTGACTGGAAGACGTGTTTTTCTGCTGTGGCTGGTTGTCGGCAAGTGATGTGGCATTTCTAATAGATTGCAATATTGGCATGCATATCTAGAAGTGAAAATTTACACACCCTTGCATGAAGCGGTAGCAGTCGAAAGGTAATTTTCCATTACTATGAATATTTGTCATCATTTAAAAATAGAAGTACCATCAAGTCGATAAGCTCGCATGCGTTAACACATGCTCACCGTGTTGACTAGGAGATTCGGAAACGTGCGAGACATCAACAGCGACTTCCGGCATCGGAATGACCGGCCAGGTTACTCTACCAGACTGTACGAGGAAAGCTAGCTCTTACGCCCTTCTTTGCTTGCGTTGAATATGTTTTCTTGTTCTGCTTGCCAACACTCCCCAAAAAAGGGCAGCACACAGAGTTGCAAAAATTTCTTCGATGGTCCTTCCCCGCATTGCTCTTTGAACATTCGCTTACAGGAAACACGATGCACTTATTGTAACAATTCTAGACAAACCGAGTTCTCAGACTTCTTTTTCAGCGCTGACAAGGGGCCCGCCGAGCAAGATCACATCTTGCAAAGAATTCATGCTGAACATCACCACAACAGTGACACGAGAATCATGATTCATTGCTTGCATCGCAGGTGGACGAGATTCTGAACAATTACGATACATTACGAAAAAAGAATTGCCGTTCAAGAAATGCAAGCCCATGCTTCACCGCAAAGCTAAGATGAACCTTAACGAAAGCATTGTGATATGCACGTCGGCGAGAAACAAAGATGCCTGTATGGTGAGTGTATATGTAAAATACCTCTCACGTACCTGAGGCTAGCCAACTGCCTTGAATCTCGTTAAGAGATTTCTTGGAGCGAAACAGCATGAAAGACGAAAGAACAGGCATGCAGACAAAGACAGATACAACAGCACAGACCTGAAATAAAAGTTTTTTGCCTAACCACGCATTATATAGTTGTGCCATTAAAACGAAAAAAAATGAGAAGTCGAAGATAAATTAAATATTGGCATCATGAGCAAACAACAGATGCGCTGCGCGTGCTGCTATTCTAATACAAAAAAAAAAACAACAACCTTTTCCAAGAAGGCATCTGCCCTAGTCTCTCGTATATTGCGCTGTTTCTCTTCAATATTTCGTACCAACATGCCCAAGCAACCACTGTAGGTGTTGTGAGAGTAAGTTTACTGAATATAAATTATAGCAGTAGAGAGAATGACTAGTTTCCAACTTCTCCAGCTTACAGTTGAAATGTAAGAAAAAAGTACCGGCGTTTCGAAGACGTGGTCACAAGCGAAGTTGTTCGAAACCCTGTCCATCGGGAGCTTCATTTGTGCCAGGCTCAAAATATTGCGTAGCCATGCATCTTTCGAGAATATGTAACTGTGTATACATGGAGAGTTGCGTCACCACAATCATCAAATATTATTGGCCCACGGTAGACGAATGAGAAATAGTGGGCAAAAAGCAAACATCACGACAAACAGGAAGGCCGCATTGAATCGCAATGATTGTCACATCACAAGGTAGACCTCCCAATGCATCATGACTCGTGGGCAACAAGTCAAACGATTACAATTATCACGTGAAACCAAGTCACATGATCGAAATTGCGTAACTTCACCTAACAACTCGTCAAGGGACTAAAATTGATAAACATCACTTGAAAACAGTTGATGGGACAAAGAATCACGTTATTTAACACTAGTGAAGCGATTAAAAATCACGTAACATCGCATATAAACTAAACACGCGACTAAACTAGCCGCGTAGTGCCTAGTGTGGTGTTAAAATCTTGGTCTCATACACTCCCCCGACTGACACCACGAAAGATCACGTAAAACTAATCGCCTCGCTAATCATCACGCAACACCCACTCGCATGACTAAAAATCGTGCAACTTCACGCCTCTAACAAATAATTTCTCTAACATTGGGTGCCATGACTGCAGTCACACTACATCTAGCCAAGTGTATGAAAATAATGCACCCTCTTTTAACAATATTTACGGTGACTAGAATCCCTCAATAGCTAGCCACATGAATAAACAGAAGTAACAGCTACACACGTACGTGACTAAAATAACGTAACATCACGCAATAGCTAGGGACTTAGCTTAACTAGCAAAACTTACCTAGGTTGAACACTAGTGCAATGTGTCCGAATACACTTTCGCTTTCTTTTAGCTTGTGTCTTTGTATTAATGTATCGCTATTTGAAGTGTTACGGTCTCTTCTATTTTTCTTGCTGCGGTGTGGCGTCTTTTTATATCACGTTTATCAATATCGGGAATCACAAATAATATTTATATTAAATAATCAACAGTACCTATGTTGCTAGTCATCATAAATTACACACGACTGCTTCTCTATTCCAAACGAGCTCCCGTCAGCGTCGTGCTAAAACGATGTCACTTTTCATTTTCGCCTTCTAGGGCGATTCCGGTGGTCCTATGACTACGTGGAATAAACATGGGAGATCTGTCCTAGTTGGAATCGTTTCCTTCGGCTACGGCTGCGCCCGAGACGATGAACCGAGCGGCTACACAAGGGTAGCCACTTTTGTACCTTGGGTTCTAAGCACGATCAATCATTTTCAAGAGGTTTCGAGTGAAAGAAACTGAAACCCCGTGTGGTCAGATATTTTTTTGTATAGATACCTAATAAACATTTGATTGAATTTAACAATTTGTAATCGACCATCTTTACCGGGACCACGTGAAGAAGCAATGCTCAATCCGAAAATGGTGTAGCTGAAGATGAGTGAATAAAGAAAGTTTGTCGAGAGATGGGCTGGTTTTGCTTGATTTGGAAAAAGACAAGTCCGATTGTTTGCAGAGACTCAACCTTACTGCATGTTTGTTTTTGCGAGTATCAGACTAATGTTCCTTGCCTCCAGATGGTGGTCTAGTGGCAAAGGCACTCGGCTGCTGACCCGCAGGTCGCGGGATTGAAGCCCGGCTGCGGCGCCTGCATTTTCGACGGAGGTTAAGATGCTGTAGGCCCATGTGCTCCGATTTGGGTGCACGTTAAAGAACCCCAGATGGTCTAAATTTCCGGAGCCCTCCTCAGCGGTGTCTTTTATAATCATATGATGGTTTTGAGACGTTAAACCAAACGTATCAATCAATCAATCAAAAATCAATCAATCAAAAGTTTTTCGCAAACAGTAAATCATGCAAAAGCGTTCATCATAGAAGTAACAATGCTACGCAAAGCTGCTTACTCTTAGTAACTACGGCATGCCATATTATGCAAGCTCTGTCACATCGTCCCTGAAGACCAGACATAAGCAATGCGCGGAAATTGCTTCAAGAAAAGGAAGTATGCCGCACGTTCAAGGTATTCTTCATATAATGAAGAAGATGGGCCAGAAATTTGGCGTGGAAGTACAGTTCAGCACTCCCAATAGGCTGCGAAGATTTTGCAGGCGCGTCAGCCGAACTCGGTCCGAGTGTGATGCAGATTCACGCTTGAATAAATTGTTGCTCGGAGAGAAAGCCTCAGAGCTGAGCAATAATGAAGCCGTTTAAAGTAAGAAAAGAAAAGTAGAAACTTTAGGCATAATGAAGAGAAAAAAAAGAAATTAAGTTGCAATGTACAAACACCGAGTCTAAGCTGACAAACTAAAACATGTCCTGTAAGTTGTCCAGCTATAATGCTTATGAAAATCAACAGTCACCGGTGGCTTTGATCGTGGCGGTGGCTTGATGGGTAGAGGCGGCGGACGCTTGCGATGTCTCAGCAGCTGGAGTCACACGCTGACCAGCACGGCGACGTTTGGCGGAAGACGAGGTAGCCCTTACCTTAGCAAGAACTACGGCTGCTTACTGATGCTGGCTCGTTTGGGAGAGGTGATCACCACCCGAAAGGTGCCACCCTCCACGGGATGTTCGGGACCAGAGTCGAAGGCCGGACACCTAGGACGTGACCTTGAACAGTCACGGCCGTAACGAACACCAGGGACGTGACCTTGAACTGTCACGGCCGGAAATCTAGAAGGCCGCGTACCTACGAGTACACCGTGGGCAGCTGGAGCGTCCTGGTCTTGCCGGACTTAACGCGGTCGAGTCGGGAACCCGACACCGCAGTCGCGCGACACTCAGGATCTGCACTCCAGCCAGCTAGATATCGTTCTGCCCCCGACTCGTCTTCCTCTGCTTCGCTCTCGTGCATTGGCTGCAGCGCAACCTTTCGCACAAATTTTCTTTCCCTTTTGGCGGGCCGCAGTTTCGCGCCAACGTCATCATCATATTTCCGCCGCTCAATTGAGAAGCACCACTGCCATCGCCTCCAAGTACGTTGTACATAACACCGCGGTGCCACCACACTTCACCGACACCACCACTTCGCTGTACTACACCACTGAAGGCCCCTTTTCGGGAAAGCTCTTCTGCACGAAAAACTGCTGCTCAGTTCTTAGATAAAGTGGCTCAAAACACACACACACACAGTTCACTACATCGTCCAAAGGTCCACATTTACTAACCACTATATACACACGAAGCAAGAAAAAGTATGAACTCATCTAGGGGATAATGAAAATCCCCAAATTAGCCTGTTTAGTACACCACCTTTTTTCATATATACCCCATTATGTCAAAAAAGAACTACACGTCAAGTCAATGTTACAATGTATGAAACTTCTTCAACTGTTCACACGAATCACCCTTCCATGGTCCGCAATCAAGATCCAAGAGAAACCAACAGGAAATCAAACTTGACGCTTAAGTTATAGCATCCCAAACAAGGCGTTTTCAGGTTGACGCTGTTCATAACGCTTCAACGTATTGATATGAAAGTGCTTAGTATTTTGGCCCATGTCCAACCAGTAATCAAAATTTCCTTTATTTCCCGTGACCATAAAGGGTCCCTTTCACTGCATCACTAGCTTGTTCTCTGTACTTGGAAGCAGTATGGGGGCTCTATCACCTATGATCAGTCAACGAGTTTTACTTCCGCGGTCATAATACTTCTTCTGGGTCACTTTGGCACCTGACAAGCTCTCTTGTGCCAAGAATATGGTCTTTTCTAAACGATCTCAGAGGTCTAAGACATACGCATACGTGGTCTTTACTTCTTCACATATATGATCTCCTGTCCCTAACTCTTCGAGTATGCTCAGCGGTCCTCGAACATGTCTGCCTTACAACAACTCGAATGGCGAGAAGCCCGTACTGGTCTGTGGTACTTCGTGGTACGCAAAGAGCAGAGGTGCCATTATTCGATCATGACTTGGGTTCCTTTTGACTCAATTTCCGCAGCATTTGCTTCAACGTACCATTAAATCGCTCCACCATACCATTACACATTGTATGGTAAGGCGTCAATCTAAGATGCTTAATGGCTAACAAATCATTCACATCTCTCATCAGCTCAGATGTAAAACATGACGCCTGATTGCACAGTATCTCGTTAGGGAACCCAATGCGAGAAAACAATTCGATCAATCCCTCGGCGACAGTAGCGGAATCAACCGATGGCAGAGCTACCGCGTCTGGGTATCGAGTAGCGAAGTCTACCATAGTCAGTGTGTAGCGGTTCCCCCTATGTGATGTGGGCTTTAAAGGTTCTATAATGTCCACCGCCACTCTTTTAAAAGAAGTGTCA